GTAGTCTCTTTTTTTTTTTTTTACCCCGCCCCCTGGTAGTAGTCTCTTATCCTTTGTATTTCAGTGTTGTCTGTTGTGATCTCTCCATTTTCATTTCTAATTTTGTTAATTTGGTTCTTCTCCCTTTGTTTCTGAATGAGTCTTGCTAAGGTTTGTCAATTTTATTTATTTTTTCAAAAAACCAGCTTTTAGCTTTGTTGATTTTTGCTATGGTCTCTTTAGTTTCTTTTGCACTTATTTCTGCCCTAATTTTTAAGATTTCTTTCCTTCTACTAACTCTGGGGTTCTTCATTTCTTCCTTCTCTAGTTGCTTTAGGTGTAGAGTTAGGTTATTTATTTGACTTTTTTCTTGTTTCGTGAGGTAGGCCTGTAATGCTATGAATCTTCCCCTTAGCACTGCTTTTACAGTGTCCCATAGGTTTTGGGTTGTTGTGTTTTCATTTTCATTCATTTCTATGCATATTTTGATTTCTTTTTTGATTTCTTCTATGATTTGTTGGTTATTCAGAAGTGTGTTGTTTAGCCTCCATATGTTTGAATTTTTAATAATTTTTTTCCTGTAACTGAGATCTAATCTTACTGCACTGTGGTCAGAAAAGATGACTGGAATGATTTCAGTTTTTTTGAATTTACCAAGACTAGATTTATGGCCCAGGATGTGATCTATTCTGGAGAAGGTTCCATGTGCACTTGAGAAAAAGGTGAAGTTGATTGTTTTGGGGTGAAACGTCCTATAGATGTCAATAAGGTCTAGCTGGTCCATTGTGTCCTTTAAAGTTTGTGTTTCCTTGTTCATTTTCTGTTTAGTTGATCAATCCATAGTTGTGAGTGGGGTATTAAAGTCTCCCACTATTAGGTGTTACTATTAATTTCCTCTTTCATACTCGTTAGCATTTGCCTTACATATTGCGGTGCTCCTATGTTGGGTGCATATATATTTATAATTGTTATATCTTCTTCTTGGATTGATCCTTTGATCATTATGTAGTGTCCATCCTTGTCTCTTTTCACAGCCTTTATTTGAAAGTCTATTTTATCTGATATGAGTATTGCGACTCCTGCTTTCTTTTGGTCTCCGTTTGCGTGAAATATTTTTTTCCCAGCCCTTCAGTTTTAGTCTGTATGTGTCCCTTGTTTTCAGGTGGGTCTCTTGTAGACAGCATATATAGGGGTCTTGTTTTTGTATCCATTCAGCCAGCCTTTGTCTTTTGGTTGGGGCATTCAACCCATTTACATTTAAGGTAATTATTGATAGGTATGGTCCCATTGCCATTTACTTTGTTGTTTTGGGTTCGCGTTTATACAACCTTTCTGTGTTTCCTGTCTAGAGAAGATCCTTTAGCATTTGTTGAAGAGCTGGTTTGGTGGTGCTGAATTCTCTCAGCTTTTGCTTGTCTGTAAAGCTTTTGAGTTCTCCTTAGCAGATTACTTAAATCCTGGTTTTCACTACTTGCTAATTGTGTGATCTTGATCCAGGTATTTAAAATGCCTCTGGACCTTCTTCATCCAGTGGACCTACTCTGTTTCATAGGGTTGTTATGAAGATTAAATGGATAATTCAGTGCTTCAGTTCAGTTCAGTTGCTCAGTTGTGTCCGACTCTTTGCAACCCCATGAGCTACAACACACCAGGTCTCCTTGTCCATCACCAACTCCCGGAGTTTACCCAAATTCATGTCCATTGAGTCGGTGATGCCATCCTACCATCTCATCCTCTGTCAACTCCTTCTCCTGCCCTCAGTCTTTCCCAGCATCAGGGTCTTTTCCAATGAGTCAGCTCTTTGCATCAGGTGGCCAAAGTATTGGGGTTTCAACTTCAACATCAGTCCCTCCAATGAATACCCAAGACTGATCTCCTTTAGGATGGACTGGTTGGATCTCCTTGCAGTCCAAGGGACTCTCAAGAGTTTCTACAACACCACAGTTCAAAAGTATCAATTCTTTGGTGCTCAGCTTTCTTTATAGTCCAGCTCTCACATCCATACATGACTACTGGAAAAACCATAGCCTTGACTAGATGGACCTTTGTTGACAAAGTAATATCTCTGCTTTTTAATGTGTTGTCTACATTGGTCTAACTTTCCTTCTAAGGAGTAAGCATCTTTTAATTTCATGGCTGCAGTCACCATCTGCAGTGATTCTGGAGCCCAGAAAAATAAAGTCAACTACTGTTTCCACTGTTTCCCCATCTATTTGCCATGAAGTGGTGGGACCGGATGCCATGATCTTAGTTTTCTGAATGTTGAGCTTTAAGCCAACTTTTTCACTCTCCTCTTTCACTTTCATCAAGAGGTTCTTCTTCACTTTCTGCCATAAGGGTGGTGTCATCTGCATTTCTGAGGTTATTGATATTTCACCTGGCAGTCTTGATTCCAGCTTGTGCTTCCTCCAGCCCAGTGTTTCTCATGATGTTCTCTACATATAAGTTAAATAAGCTGTGACAATACACAGTCTTGATGTATCCCTTTTCCTATTTGGAACCAGTCTGTTGTTCCATGTCCAGTTCTAACTGTTGCTTCCTGACCTGCATATAGGTTTCTCAAGAGGCAGGTCAGGTAGTCTGGTATTCTCATCTCTTGAAGAATTTTCCAGTTTATTGTGATCCCCACAGTCAAAGGCTTTGGCATAGTCAATAAAGCAGAAATAGATGGTTTTCTGGAACTGTCTTGCTTTTTTGATGATCCAGAGGATGTTGGCAATTTGATCTCTGGTTCCTCTGCCTTTTCTAAAACCAGCTTGAACATCTGGAAGTTCATGGTTCACGTATTGCTGAAGACTGCCTTGGGGAATTTTGAGCATCACTTTACTAGCGTGTGAGATGAGTGCAATTGTGCAATAGTTTGAGCATTCTTTGGCATTGCCTTTCTTTGGGATTGGAATGAAAACTGACCTTTTCCAATCCTGTGGCCACTGCTGAGTTTTCCAAATTTGCTGACATATCGAGTGCGGCACTTTCATAACATCATCTTTTAGGATTTGAAATAGCTCGGCTGGAATGCCATCACCCCCTTAGTTTTGTTCGTAGTGATGCTTCCTGAGTCCCACTTGACTTCACATTCCAGGATGTCTGGCTCTAGGTGAGTGATCACACCACTGTGATTATCTGGGTTGTGAAGATCTTTTTTGTACAGTTCTTTTGTGTATTGTTGACACCTCCTCTTAATATCTTCTGCTTCTGTCAGGCCCATACCATTTCTGTCCTTTACTGAGCCCATCTTTCCATGAGATGTTCCCTTAGTATCTCTCGTTTTCTTGAAGAGATCTCTAGTCTTTCCCGTTCTATTGTTTTCCTCTATTTCTTTGCATTGATCACTGAGGAAGGCTTTTCTATCTCTCCTTGCTATAGTACATAATAATATCTAACATTTATTAAGTGTTTTGTTTTGTCTCTGTCTGAAGGTGTCAGAACCAGAGTCCCACAATAGCCAGTTCTATAGATGTGGGAGAACTTCTCTAGTGTGAACAATATATATCTAAGCACGATGAGAAGAATTGGGGCTTCCGTAGTGGCCCACTGGCTAGGACTCTGCCCTCCCAATGCAGGGGATCCAGGTTCGATCCCTGGTCAGGTAACTAAATGCTCCATGCAGCAACTAAAGATCCTGCATGCCACAACTAAGACCCAGCACAGCCAAATAAGTAAATAAGAAAAAAATAAAAAATAAAAAACAAAAAAAAGATGAGAAGGATTTATATTGTTTCAGCTGACAGATACTTCAGTTGCCTCATGATTAGGCTTATGTTTTTTTTATGGCAAAACTTTTGTTAAATAATCATTTCCTTGATTAAGGTTAGATTTTTGGATGATCATTCCATTTTGCATGGTTGGCTTTTCATTTCTTTCCAAAAAGGATGTGTTAAACGTTGTTGATCATTATTATATCAGTTCTGATTGTTACATTGTAGACAGTGTTACATTGTAGAATACGTTGGCATCATATTACCTACACGTTTAATTGTATGTCTGTCAATAACCAGAGTAATTAGGCCTCAGCCTCTATTGCCTCAGCGAAAGGAAGCCTGTTGCTGTAAGATCAAAGGAAAAGCAAAAGAAGTTAATATCCATGCTTTTGAACCTGTCCGCTGATGGGAGCAGTAGGTGACCCATTTAATGTTTACCCAGTGTCCTTCACTTTTTAAGTTGTTTACATGTATCTCAGTAATCTGAGGTGAGTCCTGCTCTAGACATTTAAGGGTTGAGGAGATAAAGACTACAAGATTAAGTAGCTTGGTCACACACCTGATATCACTACACTCAGTGATAGTGGTGTCTTAAGGGATTACAGAAAGATAATTTTTACTATGAGGTGTTTTTACCCTAGCCCATCACTTCAGTTCTAGCCACCCTCCCATTTGCTCCTTCCCAACCCCCAACACGTATCATTTCTTCAAGGTGCTTTGTTGATTTATAGGTATGGAAGCCTGTTCTATGAAAACTCTCTAGCCTGCCTTTCCAGCCGTCTTTCATGGACTAGTGCCAGAGAAGGACCTCAGTCTCATGGACCAGGCTTTGTTTTTGTCATTTGAGTAATACATTGTACATCTAGAATACATATCAAGCATTTAAGGAATAATTGTAAAACCAACACCTGCCTATGCCCAGGACAGAAAACTAGAACTCTACCAGTTCCTTATACGTGCTTTCTGCATTTCCTGTTGACACCTCCCACTATCTACCAGAGGTGACTATTGTCATGACCTTGGGATAACCATTCCCTTGCTGTTCTGTAGAGCTTTACCATCTATATGAATCTCTAGACAGAATAATAGTAAGTTTTGCCTGTTTTTTGAACATTATTAAGTGGATATCATACCGTATGTATTCTTATGAAACTTTGCTTCTCAGTTATTTTTGACTGGACTCATGGATAGAGAACTTGAAACAGTTTGCTTCATAACTTTTTGTTATGGAAATAATTGATGTCTGTAATTTTATAGAGTAAAGTTTATAAATGGAGATGAATTATAAATATTTATTCTTTCCTCTCTTTATTTCTCTAGTTATTGTAGCTTTAGTAGACAGAATGGGAGATGCCAAAGACAAGGTTCGAGATGAAGCTCAGACTCTGATACTGAAGTTAATGGATCAAGTAGCACCACCTATGGTAGGCCTACATTTTAAAGTTCAGATTTTGCTAATTGATGATTAACTAACAGTAAAGATAGGTGGTAATCACAGCAAGTTAGTAAAGCCCCAGGGATGTTAAACTTAGAATTTTAAACAGTGAATTATTGCTAATGCTTTAAAGAAATTGAAATTTAAGAAAAGTTGTCAGTATTTAACTGCTTGATTTTTGCTTTTCTTTTTCTTATTTTCTACTCTCAAGCTTTTTCAAAAAGCTAACTCATAGATTTCAGTGATTTGACAGTGTACTGATTATATTATTTGTTAGGATTTTCTGGTTTTCACTACTTGCAAATTATTTTGGTGTTTGGTGTGTGTTATGTGAGTTTCTGCAACCCGTACTGAGAGAGGGAGAAAATTTTTATTGTAACAACTGATTGCTAGTTATATAAGGCATATACTAGATGACAGTACCTGTGTTTTATGAGTATGGTAGAAAATAATTGGTCTTACAGATGTATTTTGAAAGAGGAGTAAAGAATAAATTGACATGTAAACAAATATTTAAAGAGTAGCTCACTTTTAGTGGGAAAAAAATCAGTTTACAAAATACAAGATACCATGTTATTTAAAGTACAATATAAGAATTGTATTATGTATATTTTATTTAAAAAATCTGGAGTATTGAGTTGTAAAAGTAGACTTCCTCAGTTTTTTAATACCCTAGAATATAAAGATATAAATATGTGTGCAAGTCCTTATTTATAACTTGGTGAGTATTCTTTGACCCTTGCTTAGCAATTCAAATTTTAACTTGTTTTTGACATGCTATTGTTATAATGAGTATTCTAAAGGGCATCCTTATTTCTTTGGACATAAACATAAGTATAGAGAAGTGTTCCAGACGTGGTGTTAATAGGTCAGGTTATTCACATTTAAGATTTTTTTTTTCTTGTAAACTTGTAAGTTACTCTCCAGAAAATTTGGCAGAGAGAAATAATATTAGTAGAAATTGAATATAGAGTCCATGGAAAATAGAGTCCAGGAAGAGGCGTTTGTGTGTATGTATGTGTGAGAGTTTGTGTATGTCTGTATGTACACATTAGTAAATGGTAAGGGTGGTGTTTCTTAAATGTGGAGAAAAGACTGATTGGGACAGTTGGCTATATGTTTGGAAAAACACTGCTCAATTCCTTCTTATAACAAACCCATGTAATTGTTTTAGATTGTTTGTATAGGTTTATCTATGCTTTTTCAAAAAAAAAAGATTACTGGGTGGGTAGCAATAGAATAATTTGCCCAAATGTGTTTCTATATTTGGAAACATGTATCCAGTGTTAAAAGGAAAACAGCCTGAATTATAAAATGTTGAAGAAGCCCGTTCCTTGTGACAGTCTGTACTGGTTGCTAGGCAACATTGGACCTTTTAAATGCTGACAGTACTCCGAGGCTTATAATGGTAGCATTGTTACTGAAGGTTTCTAAAGCTTAGAAGAATTTATGTGTCCTTGGAAGGTCTAGGGTTTTTAGGTATTAGAAACAATTTTTCCGAGAATAATTGAAGTCTAAAGTGAAAGATACAAAATCAAAATTAAAAATATGACTAAGATATTAAAAATGGGTGAGAGCAGCATCAGTGCAAATTTGGCTTAAAAAAGCTTGTAGAGAAGTGAACAGTCCATGGGAAAATTTAGTTATTAGTAAGGCTGGTAGTAAGGTTGAGAATAGATAAAAGATTATAACATGAGTAATTTAATTTTTTGTTATACATGTTTACTTTTCTTTTAAATAGTACATTTGGGAACAGTTGGCTTCTGGTTTTAAGCACAAGAATTTTCGATCTCGAGAAGGCGTGTGTCTGTGTCTTATTGAAACATTAAACATGTAAGTTTTATGATTATTAGAATATGTTTTTCATTTTTCTAGAAAAAACAATGTATCGATTTCACAAAGCTCAAGGCAAGCTATAGAAGTAACAGATTTTATTTTTTAATTTTTTAAGTAAGAGATTTTAAATAGTTGTTAAGTGATCTCTGGCACCAGAATTTTTATCTGTTTGATAGCTTTATCTGCTAATTTTTTTGTGTGAACGTTATCTCTCATGTTGTTAATTAAAAATTGTCAGTCACTGATGAGAAGTTTCTCTTTTTCTCTTTAGTATGTTAAGAGTTGCCGCCCGAAATAGATGGTCATGTAATAAGTATGCTGGTAGAACTTAGAATCTCCTTCTGTTCTGGACCCAGTTTGGAGTTTTCTTTAACTCTTGTGGTATTTTAGCTGTTGTAGCCAGTTTCCCAGCCCCTTTTGCCACTTGGCCCTCGGCTTTCTAGAGCAGTGCAACTGGTTACCAAAATCATAGACTGAGGAAGACCCCCCAGGTAATCAGACAGGGAAGCCGGCAACAGTATGCAGAGATCTGACAGCGTAGATGCCACAGAGCTGCAGTCTGAAGAAATCGTGAGCTAAAGCATTTGTTCTCTTTCTGTGCAGCGAGATAGGTAATATATAGGAGCTTTCACTTTTTTCCGTAGTTACTTCCTTTTCTCTAACTACACCTCTGTTTTATTTCCTTTACTCCTCTGGGCCTTCTGCCATCTAGAGCTTGTAAGTGCGTTCAGTCTGCACAGCTTTTGTGGTTTTTGGCTCCCTTATCGTTTGCTTTCAACCCATGACCTCATCAAAATATTAGTAAGCATAAATAAACATCTTTAAATTTACTTATTTTAGTGGAATGCAAATTTGTGTGAGACTCAGAGTCTTAAAAAAAAATCAGTATTTTAATACAAACGTTCAAATTTTCTGAGTGATAGGTTGTTAGGTTTAAGAGTGCCATTGGTTGAACATTTTGCTCTGTTGGATCATGTGTTGACAGTTTTCATTGTCAGTCATGATTATTCAACTTTACATATCTCACATTGTTTAGAATTAGTTTTTGCTTGTGTCTCATACCTTTCATGTTTTAATGATGTATGCTCATGCTCTCCACCATATTTGTCTTAATGAAGACAGACAAAGTATAACAATATTTTGTTTACTGTGTAATTAAAACCAAATTCTCTTTACTTTTTTTTTTCAAATTATATTTAGTTTTGGGGCTCAACCACTAGTCCTCAGCAAGTTGGTACCACATTTGTGTATCCTGTTTGGAGATTCCAACAGTCAGGTAAAATTTTATTTATATTCAAGCACTAAATTTACATTCAGTTTTTTTGCCTCTTGTTTTCTAGTGCTCTTATTCCGTGTTTAAAAAAGAAGTGAGAGGGTGAAGGGGGGTGGTAAAATCAAGATTCCACTTCTTTTTTTTCTTTCAAAATCCACCACATTTAGTTATTAAGAACATATTTTATTCAGAATGTCACTTCAGTTTGTTAACTGTTTGGCTAGTATTAAGGATAGATGGGACTTAAAGGATAATTCTTAAGTTGGAAAGATTGAGTAGCAAAGAACCTGGATTCCCTTCTGTAGTCCTCCTATGAGCTAATTGTGAGGACAGTTGTCAGCTTCCTTTTCATTCCTGCACAACAGTAATTTTTGCAGCAGTCATAACCCTGCTTGTGCCAGTGGTGTATCACTTGCTGGAGAATTCATCCCCTGAGCAGCAGATACTATCGACATAATACAGGAATGTGCTCTGGAGCTTGTCCCTTGTGGTGGAGTTGAATCTTGACTGTAACTCTTCAGCACAGCTTGGGGATTTGGAATGACCCTGATTTAGGTTCCCTTGCTTTTAGGCCGTCGCTCTTCCTATAGAGGTTTGTAGAGAGGTCTGCTGTCTCTTTATTTCCGTTTCAGCAGTGAGCTGTGCAGAGGAACTAAAAGCTATCTTCCACATTCCTGTGTTTAGGCCGCATTTATTTTTTCTCTTCATTGTGGTAAAATATTCAAAACATGAAATTTACCATTTCAACCATTCTTAAGTGTAGAGTTAGTTGACTGGCAGTAAATACATTGGCATTGTTGTGCAGCCATCACCACCAGCCATCTTCAGAGATTTTCCATCTTCCCAGCTGAAACTCTGTACCCGTCAAACAGTGACTCCTCATTTCCCCCAGTCTCTCAGCTCCCAGCAGCCATGTTTTACTTTCTCTCCATATGAATTTGACCAGTCATCATGTGGAGCCATATGATACTTATCCTTCTGTATCTGGCATATTTCACTTAGCATAATGTCTTCAAGGTTCATCCATGTTGTAGCATGTGTCACGATTTCCTTCTTTTGCTTTTTAAGGCTGAATAATATACACCACATCTTGTTTATCTATTCACCCATGGATAGATATTTGGATTGTTTCGCCTTTTTGGCTTCTGTGAATAATAATGCTGTGAACATTGGTGTATAATTATCTGTTTGAGTTCAGGTCACATTTCTAAATGGCAGTTTTATTCCAGGAAAATATGTTAACTGTGATAATGATTTATATTATCAGTTCTTTACACAATCTTATTACAAGTAGAAGCTTTTTCAAAAGTCACATTTATTTAGATGATTCTTAGATTTCTGTAAAACTTTTACAAGGTTTCTCTAGACGTTTCTTGGTAGGTCTTCTTGGTTTTTATTAATGATCTAATGTAGTCTCCCAGGGGTTTAAAGGCATTAAAACCAACTTGGAGCTTCAAGTTGGTCCGTGAATGTAATGTTTTCTTGAGGTAAAGTATTTTATTGTATCTTGTATTTTTGTTTTTAAGTTCTGAATTATTTGGCAGGTTAGAGATGCTGCAATATTGGCTATGGTGGAGATTTATAGACATGTGGGAGAGAAAGTGAGAGTGGACCTTTATAAGAGAGGAATTCCCCCTGCTAGGTAAGTATTACTAAATTTATTTTTTTGTCACTGGTTTTAAAAGTTTTAATTTCATGTGCTTATTTAAAATAGGTTTAATTTTTCTGGACTGTCATCATATTCAAAATATATAAAAGGATACATAGGTTATTCAGTTCAGTTACTCATTTCTGACTCTTGCGACCCTCCACTGCGGCATGCCAGGCCTCCCTGGCCATCACCAACTCCTGGAGTCTACCCAAACTCATGTCCATTGAGTCGGTGATGCCATCCAACCATCTCATCCTCTGTCATCCCCTTCTCCTCCTGCCTTCAGTCTTTCCTAGTATAAGGGTCTTTTCAAATGATTCAGTCTTCACTTGCCAAAGTATTGGAGTTTCAGCTTCAACATCAGTCCTTCCAATGAACACCCAGGACTGATCTCCTTTAGGATGGACTGGTTGGATCTCCTTGCAGTCCAAGGGACTCTCAAGAGTTTTCTCCAACACCACAGTTCAAAAGCATCAATTCTTTGGTGCTCAGCTTTCTTTACAGTCCAACGCTCATATCCATCCATGACTACTGGAAAAACCATAGCCTTGGCTATATGGACCTTTGTTGGCAAAGTAGTGTCTCTGCTTCTTAATATGCTGACTAGGTTGGTCATAACTTTCCTTCCAAGGAGTAAGCATCTTTTAATTTCACGGCTGCAGTCACCATCTGCAGTGATTTTGGAGCCCAAAAAATAAAGTCAGCCACTGTTTCCACTGTTTCCCCATCTATTTGCCATGAAGTGGTGGGACCAGATGCTATGATCTTAGTTTTCTGAATGTTGAGCTTTAAGCCAACTTTTTCACTCTCCTCTTTCACTTTCATTAAGAGGCTCTTTAGTTCTTCTTCACTTTCTGCCTCAAGGGTGGTGGTATCTACATATCTGAGGTTATTGATGTTTCTCCCAGCAATCTTGATTCCAGCTTGTGCTTCCTCCAGCCCAGCGTTTCTCATGATGTACTATGCATGTAAGTTAAATAAGCAGGATGACAGTATACAGCCTTGACACACTCCTTTTCCTATTTGGAACCAGTCTAACTAGTCTAACTAACCAGTCTAACCAGTCTAACCATGTCCAGTTCTAACTGTTGCTTCCTGACCTGCATACAGATTTCTCAAAATGCAGGTCAGGTGGTCTGCTATTCCCACCTCCTTCAGAATTTTCCAGTTTATTGTGATCCACACAGTCAAAGGCTTTGGCATAGTCAGTAAAGCAAAAGTAAATGTTTTTATGGAACTCTCTTGCTTTTTCGATGATCCAGCAGATGTTGGCGATTTGATCTCTGGTTCCTCTGCCTTTTCTAAAACCAGCTTGAACATCTGGAATTTCACAGTTCATGTATTGCTGAAGCCTGCCTTGGAGAATTTTGACCATTACTTTGCTAACATTTGAGATGAGTGCAATTGTGCAGTAGGTTGAACATTCTTTGGCATTGCCTTTCTTAGGGATTGGAATGAAAACTGACCTTTTCCAGTCCCGTGGCCACTGCTGAGTTTTCCAAATTTGCTGACATACTGAGTGTAACACTTTCATAGCATCATCGTTTAGGATTTGAAATAGCTGTCTTTTCAATAAGTAGTGATGTGAAAATGGGATTTCCACATGTAGTAGAATAAAGTTTAACTTCCTCAAGCTACATCCCAAAATTAACTCAAAATGTGTCACAGAACTAAGTGTAAAATGATAAAACTTACAGAAAATGCTAGGCAATGGTTTCTTATATGTCACACCAAAAGGATAAGCAACCAAAGGAAAAAGATAAGCTGTACGTGATTAAAATTAAAAACGTGTTTCAAGGGACATCATCAAGAAATCGAAAGAAAGACCCACATAATGGGAAAAATATCTACAAATAATACATCTCATAAAAAACATATGTCCCAAGTATATGAAGAGTATATAATAAAGAACTCTTACAGCTCCACAGTAAAGGACAGATGACCCAATTTTAAAAACAGGCAAAGGATTTAAATAGACATTTTGTCAAGGAAGATAAACAAGTGGCCAGTGAACACATGAAAAGATACTCAGCATCATTAGCCATCAGAGAAATACAAGATGATACTACTAAGATGGCTAAAATTAGAAGATAGACAATAATAAGTGTTGTTGAGGATGTAGGGCAATTAGAAGGCATCGTCTGTGGGAATGTAAAATGGTATAGTCACCTTGGAAAACAGTTTGTAGTTCCTCAAAATGTTAAACAGAATTACCATATGATCCAGCAGTTCTACTCCCAGCTATATACCCAAGAGATGTGAAATCATACATCCACGCAAAAGCTTGTGCACAGAAGTTCATAACAACATTGTAAACATTCATAATAGCTAAAAAGTCAAAATGTCTCACATCTCCACATGTTGGTAAGCTGATGGATAAACAAAACAGAATATATCTGTGCAATGAACTACTACTTGGCCATGAACAGGAATGACTGATACATATTATAACATGGATGAGCCTTGAAAACATCGTTAGTGCAAAAAGCCAGCCATATTGGATGATTTCATTTATATGAAATGGCTAGATATGGCAAATCTATAGAAAGGTTAGATTAATGGTTGTATAGTACTGAGAAAATTGGGGAGAGTGACTGCTAATGAGTATTGGGTTGTTTTGGGGGATAATAATGACATTCTAAAATTGATTGTGTACATCTCTTAGCTTTATATTAAAAGCCATTGAATTGTACACTTTAAAGGGGTGAATTGTATGGTATGAATATTTTCTCAATAATTGGCTGATACAGAAAAGAGATTATGTTCTGAGATACCTAATTCTCTCTTTCATGTTGTATTTGTGATTTATTATTATGACTCTAAACTTATATATGGACTAAAGATAGAGTTTCTTTTCCAGTTCCATCCTAATGCTTTATTGGTCTCTATCCTTACCCTGAATCAGAAGCTTCCAGAGCTTTACATACCTCTATCCTTTGGCCTTCTAAGTTGCTTTTGGATATTCCAGCCTCTATTGTGTTTGCCTTCTGTTAAATTGCCTAGTTTTTTTTTCTTCCTGAATTACTTAGAAGAGCTTAGTTTCTTCCTTCTACCCTTCCGTTGTTTCCTCATTTTCCATCAGATTATGTAGCCCCATTTTGAATAAGATTGTTTTTCTAAATAGTTATGTTATTATTTTCTAATAGCCTTTTATTATTCATTCCTGTCTTTCTCCCTATTGCTGTTATATTTGCTAGTATTTCCTCTTCCCATTAAAGCTGCCTGTATCTTCACTCCTTGCTGTTTTATATCTCCCACTTCAATTCCTTACCAACCATCTTTTCTCTCAAAGCTTCCAGCCCTTAGTTTCCTCCTCCCATTTTGCTCCTGAATAATTGCATGCTAATTTCATGCTTCTTAACATCTTGTTCTGACTTTTTCCCAAAGAGATTTGTGGCCTGTGTGGTATTCATTCTGAACTCCTATCTTCCAGTTCCTGTTTTCCCTTCATTGGCTCATCTTGTCCACATGTTGTCTGGGCAGCCTGTTTAGTGTCTGCTCAATTCTCTGGAAGATAACTGCTCTGTAGGCTGAAGGGACTTGGTGTCTTTTGACTGAAGTAGTTTCAGATTTATGAATATTTGTTGAATTTAATGGTTTCAGATTTGTGACTGTGAGATGAGTTTAAGGTTTAGAAATCCTGTTATAAGAAATTTCTAGAAGGTTTTCAATTGAAAAAAAAAAAATTTCTAAACCAAACAGTATCTTCATCCTCAGTTTACAAGTAAAAGATGACAGAATGTGGACTAAGGCTTAACTAAAGTTTTAGAAGTGAAATTATGACAGGAAACATTGATGTGAGAAAAACATTTGGCAGTTAAAGACCTACTTAGATCTCTAAGTCATAAATTTAAGAATATATCATAGCATGATACAATATTGGAAAATTAAAAAATAGTGCTGTCAGTATGATCCCATTTTGACCCAAAGAAAATTTATATATAAATATAAAGAATTGGAACGCAGTCAGTTGAATAAGTTCTCTGGGTGGTGGGATTGTGTGTTTTTTGTTTCTATTTGTGTTTCCTAATTTTCTTTTGTAATGAATATATATTACTTTTCTAATAAAAAACACATTTTAAATTAAAAGTTATAGCAGAAATGTAGAAAGTAATTATTCTGAATGTAAGAATTAATAGAGTTGGTATTGAGTTAAAATTTAACATTAGATTATGTCACATCAGCATCACTTTAATTTCTGACATTTTGTATTTCATTGTTTTTATGTTTGCTTTAAGTTTCCTTAGTATGATTTTTATGTACTTTAAAAAAATGTCTTGGTGACTGAGTGGATTCATTGTAAGGTTGGAACTAAAGTATATTTGATGGGTTTGGAGAGATAATTTTATGATGAAACTATGAAACTGCTTTTTGTAAAAGTTATCTTTTTTAAAAAAGTGGAATTATAGTAGATGTACAGTATTATATAAGTTCTGGGTGTACAACATAGCAATGAACAATTTTTATATTCCACTTATGGTTATTCTAGTCCCTGTGTTGTACAATATATCCCCATAACTTATTTATTTTTACATTGTAATCCCCTTTCTTTGAAAGTTACCTTTTTACAAATGTACCTGTGAATGTGTAGAGTGCTACCTGTATTTGACTCCTCTCTACCGAATAGATGGATTTTGTGTCTGCTTTCAGTAAGTGAGTTAATTATAAAAGAGAGTTGTATACAACTAACTGAATCCCTGGGATTGTTTTTTCCTCAGGGAAGTGGTGAAGGAAATTGTTTCTGATTAAAAGTATATGTAAAATAAATAATTTATTCTTTATTCCCAGATTAGAAATGATACTTGCCAAATTTGATGAAGTGCAAAATTCCGGCAGTATGATTTTGAGTGCCTGCAAAGGTAAGAGTAATTAAGTTAATCCAGATCTCAAACACTGACATGAATCAGCCATGGATTTACATGTATTCCCCATCCTGATCCCCCCTCCCACCTCCCTCTCCACCTGATTCCTGTGGGTCTTCCCAGTGCACTAGGCCCGAGAACTTGTCTTATGCATCCAGCCTGGGCATCTCAAACATTTCTGAGATTAGGTAGCAGAGTTTAGATACTAAAATATGCCTTCAGGTCAACCATTATATCACTGATTCAGCAGATTTGACTTTGTGGGTTAAAACTTGGTTAGGATATAGTAACAAAGTCTTTATATTCTACTGATCAATACCTGTCCTCTTGACTCTTTTGGAATAAGTGAAAATTTAATAATGGGTTAATTGTGTAAAATGGTATTATTCTTTAACCTTATTTTTGGTATCCTCTGTGTTGAAGATACGATGACCCCCTTGTCCTCTGTGTCCTTCTATACATAAAATGTGTTTTTTACTTGAGTAATTTTTTTTAACTTATTTTGTAATTGAAGTATAGTTGATTTACAGTGTTGTGTTGATTTCTGCAGTTACTCAGTTATACACATATATATGTCATTCTTTATATTCTTTCCCATTGTGGTTTGTCCCAGGATATTGAATATAGTTCCCTATGCTATACAGTAGGACCTTGTTGTTTATCCATTCTATATATAATAGTTCTCAGCTCCTAACCCCAAATTCCCAGTTCATCCTCCCCTGTTTTCCCTTCCCCTTGGCAACCACAGGTCTGTTCTCTCTCTCTGGGTCCATTTCTGTTTCATAGATTGGTTCATCTGCTTTATATTTTAGATTCCACATATAAGTGCTATTGTATGGCATTTGTCTTTCTCTTTCTAACTTAACTTCACTTAATATGATCATCTCTAGCTTAGTCATACTTCCGCAAATGGCATTATTTCATTCTCTTGATGGCTGGATCATACTCCATGGTCTATCTGTACCACGTCCTCCTTATCCGTTCATCTGTCAGGGGACATGGAAGTTGTTTCCATTGTAGACTCTTTAATGATTGCCATTCTGATTTGCGTTTCTCTAATAATTAGTGATTTTAAACACCTTTTCTTGTGCCTGTTGGTCATCTGTGTGTTTTCTTTGGAGTATTATATAATTAGGTCTCTGCCCACTTTTCAGTTAGGTTGTTGGGTTATTTTTGTTGTTATTGAGTTGTATGAGCTGTTTGTATATTTTGGAAATTAAGCCCTTGTCAATTGCCTCATTTACAAATATCTTCTCCCATTCCATAGGTTGTCTTCTGGGTGGTTTTTTTTTTTTTAATGGCTTCCTTTCCTGTGCAAAAGCTTGTAAGTTTGAATAGGTCCCATTTGTTTATTTTTGTTTTTATTTCTATTGCCTTAAGAAACTGACCTAAGAAAGCATTGGTATGATTTATGTTAGAGAATGTTTTGCCTATGATAGCAGAGTAATTGTTTTACTTACTGATTTTTAGTAGAAATTGTAGGGTTGATTACTGTGTTACACCTGTGTTTAGACTATCAGTGATGATACCAGTGAAGAAACACAGACATAGGAACTTCACCAGTATAATCATTTTTGGCTGTTTAATTAGAATGAGACCTCCTTGGAATTCAAGGAGGCTTGGTGTTGGTATCTAGTATTTATTTGATTTTGTGGTTGCTCTTCTTTTTTGTAAGGTTGCTAAATTGTGTTTCATCTTACTGGGTGGCATTTACCTTCAGTCCTTAAGTGTTAATTAACTGTATATGTGAATAATATATTCTATTTCCAAAGATAGTATTTGCAAAGGTAGTTTTTGCACCTGGGAAAATAGGTTTATTTTATAAAGATAGTGTACTTAGCTTAATCATGTATATGGTATTGGAGAAAAAATTTGTTGTATGAATTGTTATAGTCAGGTGATAGGAAGACTAGTTACTAATATAATTTAGTTATTTTTCTCCAGGTTAAACCAAGACTAAGCCTTGTTGTATTGCATTAAGGCAGATGTAGTAAGAATTTAGTGTTAAAAAGATTGTGTCTACCTTAATCTAAACTTAGTTACAGGAGCATAAATTGACTTCAGCACTACCAGTCTTCACCCTGATTGCCAGCTGTTTCTCACTCTTCCTCTCTGAATAGAAGGTGTTTTAAGTATTTTGTTCTTATTTTACCAGCAGTTACCTCTGTCCATTTCCATAGAAACCAGAAAGACCAAAAAGATGGCGAATTGTTAAAATTCCTTGAATTAAGGAATTGTGTTTTCGTACCATTTACAGCGCATTCTTATTTGTGTATTACAGACTATGTAGTCACAGCTCTTAAGAAAAATACAGTGTATACTATAAATTTAAGATACTTGTTATTTGATTGTGATTTATTTTGAAAGTATTGCCCTTCTTGTATTTTATGAGGTTATTTTGTTACCTTCAAAAGATAGAAGGTTTTTTGTTCCTGTTCTTTTAGCTGTTATTTCTTTTTCTTTTGATTATCTCTCCTTTAACAGGGAGATTTAGGGTTAGTACCTGGCATTTATGTCTTTTGGGGAGAAATCTTCAGGAATCCTTTTGTTTTGGAGATTATAATCTGAATGTTGAAAGTATAGTCAAATGTGAATGTTAAAAATCCATAATATATATGTTGGTGTGTAAAAATTGGTCAAGATGATTTTGATGACAGTATTGTACTATCATTGAAAAATAACTGTAACAGCTTTGTTATTAAGAGGCTGAAAGAGGAAAGCCCATTTATCATGTTGGCAGGGCCCAGGGCCCAAGCCTCTCTCGCCTTGTCTTTATTCTCTCTCAGTGATCTAATCCAGCCCAAAGGCTTTACGTGGTAACTATTTGCTGATGACGCCTAAATGTGTAGTTCTAGCCTTCATTTATCCCTCTGTGTTCTACATCTCAGAGCCTGTCACCTTGATGTGGCCTTTCCCTTTGGATGCCTGATAGGTATCTCAGGCTTAACAGGTCCAAAAGTTAAAGCCTGTTCTCTTCCTTTCCCTCAAATCTGTTCTTTCCCCAGTTTACCCATTTCAGTCAATGGCACCACCATCAACTCAAGCTAGAAACTTTCCTGATTAGAATTATTAATAATTAGCATTGATCTCCCATTCTAACTAGTCATTTCTATCTCTGAAATCCTAGTATGTGTCAAGTTTGCTTATTTTCTTTCATATCGCCACTGCTAAAACCCTACTGTAAATCTCCTTTAGCTTTTACCTGCAACCTACTGCAGTAGGTTTCAGTTCTGTGTTTGACCCCTGAAATCTGCTTTCTACCAGAATTGAGAGTGGTCTTAAAATGTAAATGGATTTTGTCCCAAGAGTGAAGAAGACAGTTAAAGTTTCAGCCTAGACAAACCTACTGTTTAGGGAGAGAGAGATCATAAATAAGTAAACACATGGATATCCAGAGTGATTGCAGTTGGTAATGGAAGAAAATACAACTACTCATTGTCTAATGAATTTACTGAAATTAAATTATTCCTTAAAATCCTTGCTGCTTGGAGAAGGAAATGGCAACCCACTCCAGTATTCTTGCCTGGAAAAGTCTATGGACAGAGGAGTCTGGCGGGCTGAAGTCCATGGGAATTACATGACTGAGCATATGTGCACGAGGGTGGAGGGAGATGGGTTGGTAGCAATAAAGTGGTAGAACTAAAAAAAAAAAATCCTTGCTGCTAAGTGAAAAAGCCATTAAATGAATAGTTTCCTAATTTTTCCTAACATTATAGTATATTTCATCCCAACCCAAGATGCCTGAATAATTTTCACAGGTAGAAAAATATGTCAGTTGAGCACTGAAAACCAGTTTTTATAACTAGCAAATTGAAGAAGGAAATGGCAACCCATTCTAGTATTCCTGCCTGTAGAGAATCCCATGGACAGAGGAGCCTGGCCGGCTACAGTCCATGGGGCGGCAAAGGGGTCAGACACGACTTAGTGACTGAGCAACAACAGCAAGTAAGAGTATACCTAAAATGATGTAATGAAGGTTTATTTGACTCCATTTTTAATTTCTGCACAATTTTCCCCCATGTAATTTTCAATCCTTTGTTGGCTCATTGTTACTGTTCACTCAAACTAAAACTTGAAAATAAAGTTACAGACAGGAAAACATTTAGGTCAGAATAAAGGCTCAACATGGAAACTTGCAGAAGTAGTTCATGCACACAATAGAATGAAGAGCTATTAAAGATACCACCTCTTCTCTCTCCCACTTGGTGTACATATGGAAAACAAATTATTGTGAGTTCAGCCAAACCTGGTATTTAATTTGAATTTGTTTCACCTGATTTTCTGTGACTAGAAAATTGTTGAGAAGTAAAAACTTCTGGTGTGTCTTTGTCTGAAACTATAATAATGAAATACCATACTTCTTATATTGACTTAGGTTGTTTGGGGATGAAAAAGTCATCTTATTAAATGCAAACAAAAACCAACCCAGAGGATTTGTTGTAAAAGTGGTGTAAGTGTCTAAGAGCCACTGTAGTTTAAAGTCTGTCGTCCACACAGTCATTAGGTGAAGTAAATAGGGTATGGAGATGTTAACTGAGTGATGCCACATTAGACAGAAGGGTGGGCAAGCCTCTCTGAGCATTGACATATTTGAATTGGGACCTAATAAAGGAGAATGAACTGGTCATTGGATACATGGTGGTATAAAATGCTTTGGGCAGAGAAAATGTGGTCATAAAGGCCGAGAGGTAGAAAAGATTTTCATCTGTATGAAGAAAGGAGTGGAGGAGGCCAGGGCTGACTAGAACCTGTTGTGGCGAGGACTAGGTTGGAAGCGAGAGCATCTGTATGAGAGCTAATGGGAAGTGTAAGCAGGAACCACGGTGTGACAGGCTTGTAGGCCTTAGGAGGAGTCTTGATAGACTTCTGGGAATACGAAGGATTTTAGGCTGGAGAAGCTTGTGGTAAGTGAAAGTGATATGACCTCAAACTACCTTATGTACGTTTATTGTTTGGGAAGATCATCTATTTTTTTAATCTCCTCTTCCATCTACCTC